GACCCACCCAAAAGAAACTCTTAAACTCTGAGAAGAGACAGGATGTGGGATGAAAAAAAAATGTTAGCAAAAGTGATAGCACTAAATGTGAAGACCAGGCCTTCCAGATTCTCTGGAAGAATGTTGATTACCAATATTCTCACGATTCCCAATAAACTCCCCAAATCACCAGATCTTTTTGCATTTCAGCATCCCATATATTTTTCTGTGTGTCTTGATTTTTTTTTATTATGAAAGTAATACAGTAAACATACTACTTTGTACATGACCTTCTAAAGTATGTATTTAGACAACAGATCAAACATCACATGATCATGTATAAATTGTGTACAACATTTGCTAACTGAAAGAATACATCAGTGTTGTTATTATCATAGATTTCCTCACCAGAACACTACTCTCAGGCCAAGCTCTGCAGGAGAGGGTTGTGTGGAGTAGAGAGAAGCTGAAATGAGAACCCGGCAGTCCAGTGACCCTGGTAACAGTGTGGGACACAGGGAGATGATGATACCAATGGATCTCAGTTTCTGGCCCTCGCTCTGCCTAAATTTAACTCTGTTACATCTCTATTTTTGTATTTACTTTGTTAAATATTTGGACCTTTCCATCTTTTCTCAGACTCTGAGTGGTTTACCGATCCTGCTATTTTCACTTTTGAGTTTGAGAGTAGGACTTAGAAATAGATGACTCTTCACTGGATTGGTGAGTAAAGGATCCCAAAACTGTTCTCTCCTTCAGCATGGCGTCTCTCAACTTCAGTTTCCTCATGGGTGGATTAAGGGATTGAATAAGATTAGTGGTGGCAATCACAATCTTCACAAGGTTTACCCAGATGAGACAGGCATCATAAATGAGCAAAGAAGACTGGGGGCAGTGGTTGGGTAGTAGGTGTGTGAAGCTGTGGGGGATAGCACAGGTGAAACTAAATGCAAGGCAACCTTAGTCCTGTGGTCAAGGAGATATTAGGGAGTGGAAGGACCTGGAGAGAAAATGCCTCATCCAATGAGAGCCAGACTTACTCAGTTCCAGTTAATCGTTATGGAAGAATGAGGGCCTAGTGTTACCAGACCTTTCAATGTTTTGAGAGAATCCTGAAATTCAGATTTTTATGTGAAATCTTCTAGTGTTAAAACATCAGCAATTTGGCCGGGCACGGTGGCTCACACCTGTAATCCCAGCACTTTGGGAGGCACAGGCAGGCAGATCACGAGGTTGGGAGATCAAGACCATCCTGGCTAACAGGACAAAACCCTGTCTCTACTAAAAAAATACAAAAAGAATTAGCCAGGCATGGTGGCAGGCGTCTGTAGTCCCAGCTACTTGGGAGGCTGAAGCAGAATGACATGAACCCGGCAGGCAGAACTTGCAGTGAGCCAAGATCGTGCCACTGCACTCCAGCCTGGGTGACAGACCAAGACTCTGTCTCAAAAAAATAAAAATAAAAATAAAAAGATAATCAGCAATTCATTCAAATTTGCTAAAAAAAAACAAAACCAAAAATGTTGCGCCTGCCAAACAAAACACATTAAGAGATCAGATTTGGCCTGAGTGGTGTCAAAGTTTCCAGAATTCCTTCTGGCTTCAGACTTGGGTGATCCTATATAACCTATTTCTTCCCCTTTTGCTAAAACAGATGGTAGTACTCCCAGTATCCAAATTATGACAGCTTTAGAGGAGCTCTTTGGCAAATGCTAGACTTTGAAAAATCTACAAGGCCTTGAAGGTTAAAATATATTCTTTTTTCATAGCAGCACTATTGATAAAATTCAGAGGCTTCCTACCACGGGAGGCCATGGTAGGAGAATTGCTTCAGCCCAGCAGTTCGAGACCAGCTTGGGTATCACAGTAAGACTTCGTCTCTACAAAAAATAAAAAATTAGCTGGTTGTAGTGGCACCTGCCTGTAGACCTAGCTATTTGGGAAGCTGAGGTAACAGGATCATTTGAGCTTGGAAGGTCAAGGCTGCAGTGATGAGCTGTGATTGCACCACTGTACCCCCAGCCTGGGCAACACAGCAAGGACCTGTCTCAAAAAATCAGAGGCTCCAGAAGTTAATTACCTGTATTTATTGTCCCTTTCAGGAACAATTAGTGTGATTTAATTCCAAGATTCAGAACTGCTCCTCTAAATATTTTACTTCCTGTTCTGTCTTTCCATCTCAATGTGAAAGAATCAATTTTGGTTTCCACTTGGATGAGGTATATTTATATGCTTGGCTTATGGTGTTCAGATAAAGAAATCTTCATTGTCTTTAACTCAGCAATATTTCACCACATATTCTGTCCCTCTTCCTTAACAGAGCTATCTGGGGATGTTCTTGAATTTCAGCTAGATGAATCAATTAAGTGGTTTCACTTTTAGAAGTTAATATGGCAATTTAGATTTTTTTAAAAAGCTATTTATATGGATCCAAAAAATAAAAAGGTAAACATAATGAATGGATTTGCAGTGAAATTCTTTAATACAAGTGTGTTTTTAAGGCTGGGTTGCTTGGATTTGACTGGCTGGGATGTGTTATTTGCTTTAGGTCAATGAGCTATTCTACAAACAAGTGGACCTGACTTTAACTTAAAGTTCAGAGCAGATGTTGACAATGAGAAGGAAGCATCTGAGTACATAAAACAAGAATGACGTGTTCAGAGAAACCACATACCTTACTGTGACTGAGCTGACTACAGAGGACAAACAACAGGCTCTGAATGACAGTTCTGAGCCATGATTTGCCCTTGTCCCAATAATAAGTCAACCCCACCCTTCCACATCAGAGAGTATGTTAACCGTCACTGAATGTTTGACATTTAAAACTGAATCGGAAAGAATCAGGTAATTATTTGATCATTTCAGCCCTGTCATCTGATGTTATATTGGTAAAAGATTTGGATTTTAAGTTTTTTACTCATGTATTCAGCTAGCTTTTCAGATTCAGTGGTGGAAACAGACTCTAAGCTCCGGAGAGGAAGGGGCCACATCTCCTTCACCCCACAATGCCTTCTAAATGCACTCAATTCATTTTGTTGAATGAAAGATATTTGATTAGTCATTTGAATATATAGGAGATTTAGGTAAGTAGGCTTTCAATGAATTCATTCATTCATTTCATACAGATTTGTTGAGCTTTCCCTATGTGCCAATCATAATTCTTAGTGCTAGGCATATGGGATAGACTTGTGGGCTAGTCCCTTAACAAATAACAATGTATTATAATAAATGTTGTAGCAGGGATGCTTAAATTGGTGTGAGACCTTGGAGGAGGAATGACTGATGTAGAGTTTCATGGATGGCATCAAGATGAGAGAAACATTTGGGCTCAGTCTTGAAGGAAGAGTAGAAATTGGAGAAAGGCATTCCAGCTGCCTCCACCTACTAACAGGAACTGAAGAGTCAAAGCTTGGACAAGGGAGGGAGCATGCTAAAATGCTGAGTCATGAACTGTGGGTTGGGGGACACAGATTTGTGGGATATCCTAGCGTTACAGTAGACTTTTAGAAGAAAGAATCAGGTAACTGGCTACTTATTTAAAGATCTGGATATCTGATGTCATATGGACAAAACATGGTTTTATAAAATCAATGTTTTCATTTTTGTTTATAATTTTTGAATAACATTATAGTTTTAGTGATGGACGACTGTAAGCGTCATGAGGGCAAGAATGATTGTCATTGATTTCTTAGTGTCCTTTTGTAATTAATGAAATAACTTGTGCTCTGCTAATGGGTAAATTGTGGGTGATAAGGAACCATGGAAGAATTTGAAAACTTGGAAGCAGAATTGAGATGACCAGAGAGCCGTGGTTTAGGAAGATCCATCTGGCAGCAGCTTGGCAGATGCCCTACAGCAGGGAGACAGTGTAAGCTGAGGGATCCATCTGTAGGCAGTTGTGATGCTCTAGGCATTCGCAGAAAAGATGGAGAGGAAGAGTCTGATTGCAGAACTCTTTGGGGGACCCTGGTATGCTGGAGACGAGGGGCTGGGATTCAAGGAAGAGCTGGAATGCAATGAAGTCAGGCTGTGTGCTTGGGCAAATGCAATTATGGTCATGACAGTTTTCCAGATAAAATTCAGGAGGAGAAATTAAGAATTGAGTTTGAGGGGCCTGGGCACATCCAGTTGAGATCTTGACATGGAAAATGGTGAAAAATTGGTTAGAAATGTGGATCTAGAGTTCTGAAGAGCGGTCAGGTGCTGAGGATGGAGACTTCAGACTTCTTGCTTGAGTATCTGTGATCAGTTGGTGGCCTTTGAGAGAGCCTGGGAGAGTCTTGTGGGAGTGGGCTCACGAAAGCAAGGGGGCAGTGGTTCGTAAAAACAGAGAAGTAAACAGTGTCAAGAATGAGGAGGCTGTGCTGACGAACAGTGAGGAGGCAGGAAATGCCATAGTGAAAATACTTTTTCTTGTTTGAATGCATCAGAAGCCAGAAATCACTGAGTAGAGGAATGATGAGAAGGTGAGGAAGCAGAGGTAGGGAGAGTACCGTTTCCTGTTTTTCTAAGAAAACCTTTGAAAGATGCAACTACAGTAACAAGATCTAATACTTACTAAATAGTTACTTTATGCCAAACTCCTTGCCTGTGCTTCATAGCCAGGCTTGAAATCCCCTGTAGGTTTTAGCATATGCTTGGATGGATGCTAGAAACGTGCTCATGTGAAATACAAACTTAAAATGGGGTTCTTCATTTGCTTTTTGCTGCACATTGAATTACCCACCTTTTTTTGAAAACTGGTTTTGAAAGGGAGATCCTAGAAGTCTTTGGGATAAGGAAGGGGTCTCTGAACTGGGGAAAGAGCAGCAAACTGGGGTATGAAGAATGCAAAGATGAACTTGATTGTGCAGTGCTTAAGAGAAAAAGCCATTTGTCAGCTTTCATTCTACCAACAGGTACCCTAATAACTGTGCTGCAACATCTGGAAAGGGGGTGCTAACCAGCTATATGGTTTCCTGATTTGAGGAGAAAAGGAAAGAAGGAAAGTGGGATGGAAGGAAGAAAGGGAAGGAAAGACAGGAAACAAAAGCAAACCTTGTTTGGACTTCAGTGCCTCTTGATTTTGTCTTTTTTTGGCTGTCAGTGACCTGGGAGCTTTTCAGTGATCTAAAAGCAGCCTATGATTGTCATTCTGGTCTTTCCTCACTAAGACTTCCTTCTTCCTATTTGCTGACTTTTCTTTCCATCAGGAAATTATTCTACGAGATGTTAAAAATGTCATTTCCATATCATATTATTATTTTTGGGTGAGGGGAGAGATGTGATACTAGTATGTGTGTGTATGTGTGTTTTAAGTGCAGTTGAACCTGAAATAATGAAAACCTAGAACCAAGTATCTAACAGAAGATGTGCTATTGTGGCAGGGAAGGAGGAGAGTCGAGGATGTTCTGGCCAGAGGTCTTTATAGGGAAAGTACCTTAAAGATTTTGGGGGGAGCTATAGGAGGATAAAAAATAACTTTTTGTGACTACTAATTATATCTAAAGGTATTAAAAAAGAAAACAGTGATACTTTATATTCAGATTACTATGTGCCAGGCACTGGGCTAAATGCTTTACAGAAATTAACTCTCATAATTATTACCACAATCTGATGAGGTAAATACTGCCATTGCCCTCACTTTTCAGATGAAGAAAAAGAGGCACAGAGCTCTTTAAGTAACTTGCTGAAGGTCACACTCTTCGCTGGTACCAGGCTGTGATGTACACTCAGGTTAATCAGGACACCAGCCAGTGTGCTTATTCCTTACGTGAAATTTTCTGGAATAGATGTTCTCATGTACTCATAGATGTAAGTATCTGTGTGTGTACTTGTATGAGACTGTAGTTATTGAAAACACAGAGAAGTGGAAATTCAACCAGCCATTCTTGTGAACCACATAATACCTTTACCAAATGATCACAGCCTCTCTTGTGCTACCTTTCCCACACTGAGAGGTTGTTTTGTTAATTTGAGCAAATTAATAGGTGACAGTCATTATCCTGACAGCCTTATAATTATTGTCATACACACCATTATCTTTGTTAGAATCTTCTCGGGTTTTCCTGCCAGCCCCATGCCTGTTCTGTTGGGGACTGTGGAAAAAGCAGAACTGGGGAAAGAGCAGAACACTGGGTTGTGAAAAATGCCAAGATAAACTCAACTGTGCAGTGCTTAAGAGACAAAGTGTTGTAATCCCAGCACTTTGGGAGGCTGAGGCAGGTGGATCAACTGAGGTCAGGAGTTCGAGACAAGCCCGGCCAATATGGTGAAACCCCATCTCTACTAAAAATACAAAAAAAAAAAAAAAAAAAAAACTAGCCAGGCATTTCGGCGGATGCCTGTAATCCCAGCTACTTGAGAGGCTGAGACAGGAGAATTGCTTGAACCTGGGAGGTGGAGGTTGCAGGGAGCCAAGATCGCGCCATTGCACTCTAGCCTGGGTGACAAGAGTGAAACTGTCTCCGAAAAAAAGAAAAAAATAAAAAGAGACAAAGTGTTGACTTTTGTCATCTGAGTGTGGCTTGGACACAAAGAATTGGGGCAAGTATCTGGGCATTGACTGCCCAGAGATTCTTGGAGCTGCTCCTCCCGGGTCTTTTCCTTGGCTACTGCACAGCAGAAGGGTGGCATTTTGGGTGGTTGAACCTGTGCTTGGCTATTTGGGACAATGGGAAAGAGATGGAAGAAGACTTTTCTCTCTTCTGGCTGGCAGTGGTGTGTTCTTGCCCTTTCTGGAGCTACAAGGGTGAAACTGTGCTCATTCTCTAGCCAGAGACCAGCCAACAGATTCTGGGGATTTGCCACATCGAAGTGTGGGGTTAATAGCATTGCCACCGCCAGTGGGGACAGCATCAAATGCAGCAAGTCAAGGAGCAGGCAGCTGTACATTCCTTTGGTCTTCCTCTATGGTCCAGTGTGCTTAGGAAAAAAAGTCGTATTCTCCTGAAAGAATCTATTTATTCTGCTCTTTTGTTTTATAAAGTTTTGTTTAAGTGTTCTAAGTATTAAGAAATAACTAAAGATTTAAAAGTTTTAAAAGCCCTATGTTTCTAAACGATTCAGTAACCGGTTGTTGTTCTAGAATTCTGGAGTAACCAGTAACTACTCCCTAGACAATGGCTATGAAATTACCAGAAATCCCTTAAGTTCCAGATTCTTCAATACCAGAAAAAAATCCTAAAGTTGTGAAAGTAATAGCTCACATTTATTAAGCATTTTTTTTTTTTTACTACATGCCTAGCAGTGAGCTTTGAATTTGCAACCCACTCGTATCCTATTTTACAAATGAGAAAACAGGCTCAAAGCCAACAAGCAATTGGCTTAAAATCCCATGCTAAGTAGCACAGACTGGACCAGAACTCAGATACAAACTTGATTTAAAAAGCGTCTGATCTTAACCATTACTCAGTTCCTATCGTTCTGGAACCAAATACTAGAAAAATGTGCCTTCTTCCTATCTACCCCATCTTGATGGTAAGACTAAGAAGAATAAAGGAAAGCTAGGAAGTAATTGAAAAAATTGTTAACTTGCTTAAAATAGTTTTCTGTTTTCTCCTTCCTCCATGTATGTGTACCTAAAGCAGCCCAAGGTCACTGATGTTGACCTCAGAAACCCTGAATTTATGTTTTATTCTCATTGTTCAGATTCCTCTTTCATGATGTTTAGGCATTCCTGCACTTGAAGAGAAGTTTTGCTCTGTTGCTCCTTTGTTTGAGGAGCTATAATACCAATGAAGTAAGCAACACCTAATTTCCTGATTTTGTTTCCCTCACACAAACCTGTTACTAGGTTAAAAATTTGGGTGTAGGTATAGGTGGGGAGAGTGGATGTGGGTAGGGAGGAGGGCCTTTGACCCGGTATGTGGGCTCATATTTATGAAAAGTCTCATAGAGTTGTTAATTTTATCTCTAAGTCAGGGGATATATTTGGTCATTGTAACTGTGTGTTTATAGCATTCATCTTTTAAAAAGTAAGTTGCCAAGACCAGCTTCGTTGGGGAGACCCTAACCCAGCAGCACTAGAGGAATTAAAGACACACACACAGAAATATAGAGGTGTGAAGTGGGAAATCAAGGGTCTCACAGCCTTCAGAGCTGACAGCCCCGAACAGAGATTTACCCACATGTTTATTAACAGTAAGCCAGTCATTAGCATAGTTTCTTTAGATTTTAGATTAACTAAAAGTATCCCTTATGGGAAACAAGGGGATGGGCTAGTTATCTGCAGCAGGAGCATGTCCTTAAGGCACAGACCGCTTATGCTATTGTTTGTGGTTTAAGAATGCCTTTAAGTGGTTTTCCGCCCTGGGTGGGCCAGGTGTTCCTTGCCCTCATTCCGGTAAACCCACAACCTTCCAGCGTGGGCGTCATGGCCATCATGAACATGTCACAGTACTGCAGAGATTTTGTTTATGTCCAGTTTTGGGGCCAGTTTATGGCCAGATTTTGGGGGGTCTGTTCCCAACAAGATTTATCGTGTTATAACTTACATCCAGTAAAATTCAACAATTATAAGCATACAGTATGATGAGTTTTGACAAATTCACATGGTCAGGGTTTACATTAATTTTTTTGGATTTATTAAATTATAAATTACATATAATTCACTTATTTAAAGTGTATAGCTCCCTTGATGGCTTTAGTATATTTAGAGTAGTACAACCATCACTACAATCAATTTTAGAGCATTTTCATCACCCCTGAAAGAAACCTCATATACATTAGCAGTCACTCCCTATTTCTCCCTACCCCAAAACCTCCCAGCCCTAGGCAGCCACTAATCTGCTTTCTGTCTCTACAGATGTGCCCGTTCTGGACATTTCACATAGGTGGAGTCATACAATATGTGGTCTCTTTCAATTACGTTTTCTCACTTAGCTTAAGGTTTTTAAGGTTATAAATGTTGTTGCATGTATAAGTATTTCATCCCTTTTTATTGCTGAATAATAGTCCATTGTGTAGATGGAGTCTCGCTCTGTGACCCAGGTTGGAGTGCAGTGGCACCATCTCAGCTCATTGCAACCTCCACTTCCTGGGTTTAAGCGGTTCTCCTGTCGCAGCCTCCCGTGTAGCTGAGATTATAGGCACCCGCCAACAGAGCTGGCTAATTTTTGTGTTTTTAGTAGAGACGGGGTTTTACCATGTTGGCCAGGCTGGTCTTAAACTCCTGGCCTCAAATAATCCGCCCACCTTGTCCTCCCAAAGTGCTGGAATTACAGGCATGAGCCATTGCACCTGGCTGAATATTTAGTATATTTAATGTATTCTATCTATAGTCTATCTTAATATGTAGACTATTTTCTGTATATGTTCATCACTGTTTGGCTAATAGCATTAATTTTTAAGATGTAGATATTTAACCAAAACCTTAGTTTTCATGTCCTCTTTTACGTTGTCTTTCAATATTTAGTATGCTAGTAGTCAGTCTTGACTTCTGAGACAATCTGATCAAGGCCATCACAACTGGATTTACAGTTGTACTAAAATTATTATCTGGAGGCTGGGCACAGTGGCTCATGCCTTTGATCCCAACACTTTGGGAGGCCGAGGCAGGCGGATCACGAGGTCAGGAGATTGAGACCATCCTGGCTAACATGGTGAAACCCTGTCTCTACTAAAAATACCAAAAAAAATTTGCCAGTCATGGTCGTGGGTGCCTGTAGTCCCAGCTACTCGGGAGGCTGGGGCCGGAGAATGGAGTGAACCTGGGACACGGAGCTTGCCGTGAGCCAAGATCGCGCCACCACACTCCAGCCTGGATGACAGAGCAAGACTCCATCTCAAAAAAAAAACAAAACAAAAAAAGTATATATATCATTTGGAGTTCACCCCCTGGAATAGCTATTTCAAACTGTAGAAAATGCTTATAGAATTGTGTGTGTATATACACACACACACACACAAACACACACACAGAATGAAGATGACTCAATATGATTTTACAAAGAGTTTTAATACTTTAGAAGCACAACAGGGTGGATTCTTTTTCTTTTCCTTAAAAACCGATGTTGATATATAACTATATTTATTTGACCTTAGAAGAGAAATGATACACTGACATTTTGAAATGTCATTGGAAAGTGCCAAAATTAAGTCACTGGTGACTATAACTTTTAAAGGACTTACGTTAGTGTTAACGTGATGGCATTTGCTAATATATAAATCAACAAAGAGAGTAGTTTTACCTGACAGTTTAGGTCTTTGACCCAGAGAAGACTTATTTTTTTATTTTTATTTTTTAATTCTTTTTTTTGAGACGGAGTCTCGCTCTGTCACCCAGGCTGGAGTGCAGTGGCCGGATCTCAGCTCACAGCAAGCTCCGCCTCCCGGGTTCACGCCATTCTCCTGCCTTCGCCTCCCGAGTAGCTGGGATTACAGACGCCCGCCACCTCGCCCGGCCAGTTTTTTGTATTTTTTAGTAGAGACGGGGTTTCACCGTGTTAGCCAGGATGGTCTCGATCTCCTGACCTCGTGATCCGCCCGTCTCGGCCTCCCAAAGTGCTGGGATTACAGGCTTGAGCCACCGCGCCCGGCCAGAAGACTTATTTTAAAGTTCTATCCTACTTAAAAATGGTTATAAAAATCAGTTATAAGTGTATTGACACTGTTGCAGCTGATGACTGCAGATGCACTTTTTACCCCTTGAACAGTATAAAATGAAATTGTTTAAGAAATGGGAAAGCAAAAGTAGAAGTCGAATAATAGATGTGGTAGGGAGAAGGCAGATTCAAGACCTAGAGAAATGATCACTTGTGTTATACCTCTCATGAAATGAAATGTAATTAATTTGTATTTGAGTTATGAGCTTC